CACTGCTCCTCGACTCAGCAAGCAACACAGTCATTGCTGTCAGATTGAGGCAAAAGGCAACCTTCTACCTCTTACTACAAATAACCAGTGGTAAGCATAACAATCAGTGGCTGTGTGAATGTATTCGTGTGAGGGAATTTCTGCATACTCTAATTGATCTCTAACTCTCACAGGGACACAGTTCAAATACCTCAACTCCAACCCGCCATTGTTGATGGATACGTTGATACAAACTCAGCAGTTGAGCCTCGTAATCTTGCATCATTCACGAGAGGATATGAAAAAGAATAGAACCGGTAACAGTATTTTTACACCTGTAATGACGTGTGCGTAGTAGACGAGCATTTGAGTTGCAGCAGCGTTTCCATGATGAGAAATTGGCGCTTTTCTGTGGCAAATCCGCACTTGAGTTGAGCGGAGAGATCACAACCAGTGGTTTGCAAGAAACCTCCCAAATCATTTCATTGTATGATCACAAATGCATAGTACAGCGTAGATGTAGTGTGTATGATAAAAGTACCGTACACACCTTATATTTCTGTATATTTAGGATTTCGTACTCTCTAACGATACCACATGTGATCAGAACGATCGAATTCGCGGTTGAACCTGAACTAAACTGGGTCCTAGTGCATGAAATGTGAAGAATAGTCGGTGATAGCAGTAGGGGACCCCGGATTCCGGTGCAACAACGCGTGTAGAATTTTACAAAACCGGTGGAACCACATGATATTGCTGCAGTCCACTGCTCATACACTACAATTCGTTGACCCTTTTTCCCGTAGGATCGTGTTTAGGCAGTAGCCAGCCTGCAGTCTAGATTTAAATCTGATTGAAAACCTTTGATCTGTGAATGCTCATCAGGTTTACTAAACAAAGTGACCGCCCTTAGGCGATAATTGGTGAATGTTGGTTAAAAGATAATCATAAGTGCAGCAAGTGTTCCAAGAAGGCGTATTGAGGTCTCCAAGCCGAATGGTAGTTTTGCATGTTTCTGAATGGCAACTATAAAAGCCGATCTGAGGATAATCCGATACTTATTTCACATCATACCTTCTTGTGAGATAACTTCCGTTTTAAGTAGCTCATAGTAAGCAGTTCCGGTCTTAAATTTGCTATGGCTTATTGCAGCGTGCATTCAGTCGTTCCGACTAGATACAATTTTGTCGGAGAATACAGAGGCGGAAATATCCAGGAAAATGAGGGGAGAGGGAGGAGTTGCTGATTACAGAAAAAATTCAAACAGAACAACTTTCCTTAGACAAAGCATCATAGAAGAAAAAATGTCAGATGAAGTAAACATCGTCCGTTTAGTGAGTACGGATCAGCTGAGAGTAGGAACGGCCTTTCATCGATTCAATAATGCCTGTTTCCATCAAACCTAAAATAACTTATCAAATCCCGCTTGTGGTTTCCATCAATGCTTGCATCACCCTAATCATTGGACTGTCGCAAGCAGTTCAGAACCTATGGAATCAAATAAACTACTTCGTTTCTTAAATCTCTTGTATAATTTAAGTGGTGTGTGTCCTGTTCAACTCCAGTGGTACAATTATCGTTGAACGCGTTGGGGTTGGCCTTCCGAAAGCACTCGGTTATCGACCTATAGTTTCATGTTTTCCTAATGGAAGCTGATGACTAACTAAATTTGAACAACGTTATTGATCATTATATACATTGCACCAGGCTTGCCAGTAAGCATTAACAAGAATAAAAGAACATGGGGAGTTTGGATACAAAGCAGAGTAAAAGGGGGGGGGGTCATACAGTTAAGTTCAATGACGAGAATAATAGCACTCTTAGTTAACAATAAATGAGCATAAATTTCCGATCGATAGAAATACCATGTAGCATATTTGCTTTTAAGGCCTGTATCATTGTAGCACATTTTATGTGGCACAGTGATAAAATATAAGGAAGGAGATGAGCGGATGTATCTGCGGGTAACTGGTGGCTTATTTGTGCAACTGAATGAGATTAGGATTGAAAAAGTAGTACAAAGCGCATAGAGAGAAATGCACACGTATGGATATACAAATCACGGAGAGAGAGAACAAACTGTTTTATAAGTAAAATCTAATAAGGTTATCGGCTTTCCGACCACGTCGATTCATTTCAGTTGTGGATCAAAGCTCAGTCACAGCTGTGTGACAGAATTTAGGGCAGATGTTCGAACTGAACGTGGATGGTATAGCCATGAGAACCGGACGCATCAGGTAGATAATGTGCGCGATAAGCAAAAGTGACCTCGACACAAACACACAAACACGCACACGAAGAGAAAAAGAAGAACTAACCATGTATTGGCCTTGGCAACATCCGGGATGAAATTCCGGAATTGACCGTGATATCAGCTGGGATAAGGAAATGAAGGTGTTGTTTGGCTTCTTTAGTATTTCGGGTCGAGAAGCAAAGCACTGCTATTTTCTAAGAATGTCTTGTGGAATGTGATGCACTAATATTTAGTAAAAATGATTTTAGCTGCGTGTTAAGCTATGGAGATTACTGTTCAATTCGATTTGTATGTAGTAGAAGTAATTGAACTCGAGTTAGATAAAAAGAGCAAACATTCGACAGACTACACATCACTGATATTGTTTCAATTGTTTTCCGTTTTATATTTTATCCGGCACAGAACATAGTTCAAGTCAGTTACGTGCCTTATACATATCGAGAGGTTTATATATAATGATTAATTACTCAGAAACGGTAATTTTTTAATGACACCAGAACGCAGATCCTGGTAAACATAGGAATTGGTTGCATTCATTCTCACTCGTTTGTTTAACCCCAACACATCGCACTACCGTTATTTTTTTACATAAATAGGATTGTAATGGCTCACCCAAAACATGTGTTAACCTACGATCTTTGTTTTGAATATAACGATGGGCTTTTTGTTCGAATACATGATACATAATTGTAAGTTTTAGTAAATGGAACATTTCTCTTTACCAATCGTTGGTCGTGGTTAGTAGAAGAGATAAACAATACTAAGTTCATCTCTACCGACTCAATTGCTGATTTTGAGGTGTATCTGTTACAAATCGATCCAGCTCGGAGTCCGATAGTAGTGTTGTCGTATGAACCGCATAATGCACAATCTTGTAACTCCCACCACGCTAAATACAAACTCATTGTTCCACCACAGAAAATGCCCCCTTCGTAGTTCATTGGTTAAAATGGCAAATTAGACCGCGATTCGACCGAGTGTCTTTGAACGTAGCTATACCATTTTTATCCAATCCTCCAGATTATTAGGCACGGATATCTCACCGTTGCAACAATTTCATCACAACTCCCAATAACAGTTTGACACGGAAATGTTGTCTGGTGTTGTTTTTTCATCCTCCTCTCACAAACGGTCTTTAGTGTTTGTTTTGTTATCGAACCGTTTCCGATTTCCGATTTGGAAAGCGCTTGCCTTTTTCTTCGCCGTCTTTGTTTTGCCGTGCAAGCTCACGAGTTGTGTTGTCAAAACTACACCATCCAATGTGAAACGATAATTGCTATTTGACGCGAATTGATAAGTGTGCCAGGAAGCAGATTAGAAGGAACTATATCTAGGTTCTGCCAAACCCGATCGAACTATTTTTGTGAAATTTTCTCTGAACGTAAAGGTCGTTCAGTGTCTGTTAAGTAATAATTGGGAAAATTGTAAACCGTTTCTCCATTCGTACTCACGGTAAGTTGAAGTGATTCAACCTTCGTACGACCACTTTTGTTGGTTGTTATCGCAATGTACTCTGATAAATATATGGTAATGTATCTGTTCGCAAACTCGTCTTTCCATCTGATGTACATTAATCTCTGGTGTACATATCGCTTTCACTTACTGACTCAATTAAAACGACGCACTTTTTTACCCATCCGTTGCTCTTTCTGTCTGAAATAAATTATTATCAATAGAAAATCGGGAGTGGAGACTTTCCAACCAGAACTCTAATCAACCAGTAGGGTTATTCAGCAGTAGATCAATCTTCAAGCAAACAGATTTCATTTCTGTGCGTGAAGATTGATGAGATTACGTTCATGTGATTCACGTGGTTCTGTTTTCTGCCACAAAGAATGATTCAGTCTATTCAAACCCCGAATTCCTCTGATACCTGGCATCACCGTGTTCTGCAAAAACTCAGTCTGCCACAACCAGCCAGATCATATGTAGATTATACAACACGAGATTCCACTATCCAATCCTTACCTACCAGTACACTGTGTCTCTCGGTTAAGTCATGTGTTCCAGTCAGTGTGTCGGTAATTAATCTAGATCATGTACTCCGATGCACGTAAATCTCTGTGTTGTGCGTCAACTTTAACCAGAAACCACTTGTTCTCGCAATTAAAATATTGCAGAATGCTGTATGGTATAAATAGCGCATCCTCATTTAGAGAACATTCAGACATGCATCGTACTCCTACTTAGTATTTTGTTTATATCTTCCCTTTTCTTCCCTTTCCTTAGTTCTTGCCAGCATACACTGATATGGGGGACTGTAAAACTGGGCTTCTTTGGTCTCCAATCCCTTAATCGAGCCACTGCTTCATACTGTCACTTATGTGACTCTTGTAAACCTGTCCATTTGCCGTATGTTCTTCTGTCACAAAGCAGTTTATAATGACGCATTCATTTTATCAATAAATGAAATTGTTTACCATGGCTAACAAAGGGAACCAAACAGCTGTTTTATGCTTATTGGGGCATCGTCACTAGAGCGTAGTTTTGTTATTCTGTCCGAAGGAGAGTTAAATTTGTTGCCCCCGGAACCACGCTGGTGATGGTCAACACCTTCAATGTCTGGCTACATGAATATATTAAACGAATTGATGCATTTACTTTCACCCTTCACGAGGTAGTGCGAAACGCTTCCAGCCCTCATATATGAGTACTGATGTGGGACTTGGAGGACAAATCTATTCTATGATAGACAATCAGCTGAATACTTTTATTACGCAACATTACACCAACAAGTTTTGATAATGGTTCTTCCTTCATATCCCACATGTTTTTCATTTTTCTTATAACCCATAGCAACCTTCGGGATGAGCTTGTGGAGAAACAGAAAGTACGCATACGAAATGCGGAAGCCAGTGGAGACGGACATTGTTACAACTGTGGCCGATTGTTTATGGCCGTGTTCAATCCACCCGTACAATGCTACCTTTGCAAACACGAGTTTTGTCGCATGTGTATGGAAAAGATGCCCAAATCCAAGGAACTCATTTGCAAATTTTGTCGTTTCGAAAGGTGAGATAGTATCTTAGGTTCCATATTCTCTGTGAATTTTATCACTAAATGGTTATGGCTTATTTTGGCGTAAATACTACAATTTTATCTCCAAACTTTGCAACCCCAGACAATCCAGTACGGAACCGAAGAATACATGAGTACAGTGAAGACTGATCAGGTTTAGTACGAAAGGATAGTTCGGTACGTCTTCGGAGAAGGAGGCAGTTGGCTAAACTTCGACAGAAATGCATGAGCGATTTTCGTATCGGCCATTTTGTCATTAGAATATTTAAATATGGTAAACAAAGGTGTACGATTGATTGTGCTTTAATAACCAGGGCTCATTGTTTGAAACAGTGACAACCTAACAAGGAAAAAACAAAAAATAATGGGGTAATCGATGCAGCGATAAATAAGAGTTGAAACTCTAGATTGCGTGTACGAACAGACTGTCGATAAAATTCACCAGTACGTACTAGACCATGGGAGATCAAGCAAGGATGTTTCTCGATCCTCACGTTTGGAGTTTTCATGCAAAAAATTGGTTCCGAATCCATCATTATCGGTTTATACAACAGGGGAGCTTGCAAGGTATGGAACACGTATTCAACACGCTTGGTTGGATTTAGAACGAAAAACTCTGCGACTGTAACTTTAAAAAATGGCTGATAATAATGAGGGTAAGATTCAAGATCACATTACCTCCCCTAGATAAGCGAACAAGTAAAGTAGGAAAGAAGTCGTTTATGTGAGTGAAAAACAAATAACCTGAAAAAGAAAGGACTTTTCGGAAAATTTTCCAGGCCCATGTTTATTTTAAAATCATTTTACACGAGAGAATAAGAATACAAGAAAAACCTATGAACAAATAATGGTACTGTCTTCAATTTCTTTGAGTTTGTTGAAAATACAATTATGTAGGGGATTTCCAGGTTGGGGGTTGAAGCCAACCAAACACCGCCCATATGAATGCACAAAAGGGAAAGATGGCAGTGGCGGTGCTGTTATGTGAACTCGCCCTTGGCTCTCTGAAACGGAGTTGAAACACTTATTACCCCTTCGACTCTTGGTCTCTCAGGTGGATACGATACACGGCTAGGTGGGCGACAGAACGGCGGTGGAGCGGNGCGGTGGTACGAATAACGGGGAGACCGGGATGTAGAATTGGGAGGAAACATTGGTGGACCGATCCTCCGTGGGTTCAGGTCAAGGATAAAGCTGCCAGGCAAAAAACACAGAGCGCCATGAACCCAAAAGATTCAGTAAGAGCAAAACACTGACGTTAAAATATTAATGAGACGATTACCAAGCGTCACATCGGCAGGATTTAAACTGGCCCCCTCCGGCTGTCGTCATGATGATCTTATTCACTTGACCAGCCCCTCAGTAGCTGTTCTCTTCCACTATGGAAAATTGGGCCGGAACACATACTGGGAAAATTCACAATGGAGTTGCCCCCAGAATTTCGTCAGATATTCGTATATGTACGAAACAAAAGTACATTCAGTTGCACAGAACAGAGTGTGCAATGCAGTTCGACAAACTCAAAAGGTGAAGTAGAAGGCGGAAAATGTCTCAAGTAGATTGTGGATTGCGTTAATTAGATCAGATCGTTCACGTGTGTACGTGTACTTTGCTGAGTGCACTTTGTTAAAAACGGATCAGTAAGGTATGAGAAGAGAACCAATTGCTCGCGTTTTAACATAGTGCAGCTGTCGGGGAAAGAAGAATCATGAGAAGAACCTGTGAAACAGGGTACGAAAATTCAAATTGTCTTTCATTTACACGATTGATAGACAGAGAACGGTATACTTTACCAAGAAATTAATTTGTGTAACCAATCTAGAAAGCTTGAGTGTTAACACTACCATACATTATTGCTGTACTATTCTATATAGAGTGGGTTGAGATTAGACGCATGAAACTATCATGAAACTATCATCATAATGATTCATCGAGGTTGGCTCAAAATAATTTCCTTAGATACAAATGAAGATATTGTTGTCTAAGGCTATAGTTTTATGTAAAAATGAAAAATTATAATTATAAATTGGTTAATAATCTGGTACCAGTTGCATTGCGAATGGGTCAAAACTTAAACTGCATGGGAGAGAAATGCTATAAGCAGATTGTCAAGAATTCACTCAATCAATCAGCTAATCGGAGGTTCTCTGCCCTTGGTAGTATCTGAGAGACAAGCCGGGGCCTGCGGACTTAAGTTCATTTGCGTCGTACTGTTGCATGCGATTATGAACCAACAGTTACACAAGTTTGTTCCAGTTGTTCTTCTTACCATCGGTTCAACGATTCATGATGTTCACTCAGATAATGATTTTCACTAGAGAACATTTTTTCAGAAATTTGTCAGTTGCAAATGCAGTTTTATCGTTGTGTTTGACTGTGAACGACCGGAATTCATACTGGAAGACTTTACATCAGATGACTTTAGTAGTAAGTGTCTTTACCTTTTTCAATTTAAGATGTCTGAATATCAATCTTAGGATTTCTGAGAATCAATTTAAGATGTCACAATTTCAAATTAAACCTTCATCCTCGAGCATTGACAAGAATATCGAAAACGAACCATTTACTCTCGAAAACCGAGAAGGATCGAGGAGCTAAAGCAGTGCTAAAGTATTCCTACGATTACTATTCGGAAGGTGGAAGGAAACTATCTTCGTCGTATTTTTCTATGCAAGCAGCATGAGGGAAACGATATTGAACAACTTTTATAAAATAAATATGCATTCTTGCATAATATTTGCTCTCTCCTCCGGAATTCTATCTCCAACCTAGTTAGCAAGATCATTTAATGCGAAAAAGTCAGTTGATAAAATACCAAGAAGAGTTTTGTATGGATCTATATTAGTGGATATTGTAGTCCGTACTTAAGACAAGTTCGATGTCTTATTATGATTATCCGTTTACCGAACCCGCTTAGTAAAATAGTGTGCGTATTTTAGATGAGTCAAACGTTGGCCCAGTGCCATCATCGCTTGAACGTTTTCCATTCCGAATTTCCCAAATGGCGCATCGCTCCATCACTGATTCTTTACCAACACATCGGTTTCAGAACTTATCCTCCTCCTATGCCGGCCCGAAAAGCACACGACCGATCGGGCTCATTTATCGATTGGTCGGATAGTTCAGCCTCACCAAGGGACCTGGTGCTTGCCCAGCTAATCCGAGCGAGAAACCACATTTTGTCTATAGACGCGTGTTTTAGCACGCCCAACGAACTTCGACTGTACAGCAGACGTGTCTTCACCACATGAATGGACTGTACGTGAAAATAAGGTCATCACAAAAGTGCAAGACAATGTGAAACGATGTAGCAATCGCACTATCGTACTATCCATATAGCAACATGACATCCTAAAACGATACCGTGCCATCTTAAATTGATATTCGGACATCTTAAATTTAAAAAGTCATAGTTCTCCTTGCAAGGTTTCGCAGAACGAGGGAATGAGGACAGTTCATTCACCAGGGTTCATGAGCAGTCCAGAATTAACCGCTCCCAACCTCGTGATAGACTTGGTCTCAGCTACACGAGCGTTAGGG